TAGGAAAACTGGGTGTGGAGGGGGTAATGATTGGGTGAAGAAAGGCGAGGAGGAGGGCAGGAGGGAAAGAAAAAAGGAGGTGGGGGGGAGGACTGTTGTGTTGTGTAGGGTCTAGAACCCACAAATCAAGCAGTGATTGGTCCCTTCACTCAGCGTCTCTGGAATGTTCCACTCTAGCACCTGCAGGGAGCGGGAAACAAGTCCTGCCAAGCACTGCAGGAATTCAAGGGGGGAGGGAGGGAGGGTAGAGGAGGTGGCTATTTTCTGCATCAGCTGGTAATCAGATTAAAATTAATTATGAAATATGGAAAGTAAATATCTGATAAAATAGGGCAAACTATCTGATTAGACTAAATAATACGGCGACACTGAGTACTCGTAGATGTAAGAGTGAGTGGTCAAGTGCAGGCAAAGATTCTTTGGGTTTATTTGACAGAAGTCAGTGCATTTTCCTGTTATTCCAGATCATTTCATGAGCACAAACCTTATACTTCTGCAACTGCAACCAGAACTCACAAAAGTTATTAACAAATCCTAATTTATCGACATTATAAATTGGAACCTATGGAACTGGATTCGACCAAATGACAAAAACGTTGTTTAATTTTTCGTGTGTGGGTGTCGGCGTTGGGTTTTTGTTTGAGAATGATGAGCTTTTTTCGGAGAAAAAAAATCTGAATTCTGAGGTTGAATCAGAGTATGATTTAAGTTAAAAATTTAGAAACAAAAGTCGTAATTCTGAGAGAAAACACTGTAATTTTCAAGTTTTCGTCCAGAATTCTGAAATTTAAATAAAAATTCTGGAGGACAGTAAGAACAATGAGGAGTCAGACTTCTGACTTTTCTCAAAATTCAGAAAAAAAACTTCACGACCCAAAAATGCTTTTACTCAGAATTCTTCAGTAAGTAAAACGTTTTCTTTCAAGCATGACTCAGATCACCAAAGTCAAAAATGTTCTTTATGCCAGAATAAATACATAAAATTGTAAATTTAACAACACCTAAGAGTTTCATCATCTCATCTGTCAGCAGGCTGAGACTCAGTGGTCCATACAAATGTGCTCAGCTGGGTCAAAACAAATCTAAAGAGTTGATTTCTCGATGATTTCCAAATCACTTGCTCTAGTTTTTCTGGACTCCCTGCTTTCAGTCCCATCATAACGCCTCCCCTCTCCTCACCATTCTTCCTCACTCCTGTGGGATGTTTCCCTTGTGCCAACAGTAGCGTCAGTTCTTACAAACCAGAAACCATGCAGAAGCTCCAACAGAAGGTCCTTCTCTCTCTATGTGTTCACTAAGTGGTAAAATAATTTATAAATACACCAACCAGTCTACTTAAACTACATAAGCTAGCAAACCAAAACCAATGTTACAACTCAAGCCGCTACCAGACGTACTTCTTTTGACTGACAGCATAACGGACAGGTGTAGACACCGTGACCAATCACCCATTGGTTAGTGAAGTGTCCTTTTGAAGCCTCGAGCTGAGTGTGCCTCAAAAACATGTCAGAATGTGTGACAACAGCTAAAATCCCCCTTAAGTTTAACTTTAGGTGGCTAAAGCATAATTATGGTTAACATCGGCCGTGCCTGAAATAATTCACTCATGACTTCATTTGCAAAATATTTAAAATTTCAGACAGGATTCATTTTCTTGGCACTGTTGGTTTTATCATTGCAGACACACAGTGATAAGTCAGATAAGTAAATGAATGCCGACATGAACTTTTGTCATAAATACTATACCAAGTTAACGACACCTTTAAGTGCACTATAGGTTAAAGCAACACTTGCTAAAAGTTTGGACAGCACTTCAAAATGGCCAACTCACTATATGGTGAGTAGGATCACACAGAAGCTGTAGCCTTGTTTGTATTCTACCTTGATGCGAATCTTGTGTTGCATCAAATCCTTTGCACTTGTTATTTTTCCTTTCAGAATATCTACTGCTACTATATTATACAACTACAACATGCTAACTTATACTAGTACTACATATGCCCAGATAAGATTCCAAATAACTAAGAGTTGGGCTTCTGCAAGTAATGCATTCACCCTAAACTTGGGCTATCTTCTCGCTCTGTGCCATTGAGAGATAAACAAGTGTTTGCTTTTATCTGATGACGCTGACATCACCTGACAAACACCTTCCTGCACTCAGTGGTGCAGAGACAGGAATGAACTTCATATTTTAATTCATCCCAAAACAAACTTTAGCACGCACTACCACAGCGGTAGACTTAGCTACCATGGTTATGAAAGGCAAGACCACCCAATGAAGTCATCTGTCACTCACTCAGTCACCAACTCACACACACACACATACACAACACAAAACAACAGGGAGGCGGGAAGTGGGTGGAGGAGTCAATTCAAAGTCAGTGCAGCTCCATCAGCTGATTCCTGTTGGGATACAGGAGGCTTTCTGCCGCTGAATCACTTTAATGTCAGTCGGTCTTTGCTGAAGCACAACCTGAGCGGCATTTCCTGCGACTCCCTCAGCTGGGAGAGCTCAAGATCAAACTGCATGTAATTACTGCGTTATAGCACTTTTTTCCTTTTTTACTTCGTCCTTCTACTAAAGACAGTGAGCAAACCTTTAGAGGCCAGCCTGATCCTCTCCAGCATGACAAAGTCAAACACATTTTAAATGCTCCTGCCCAGCGATATCTACACAATGATCTGATATTTTGTCAGTTGTGGAGACTATGTGCTGTATTTTCAATGGCTTCCCCAGAGAAAAGACCAATTTTGACCTCTGACATCATCAAACAACGCCGCTGCTCTTTCTTATTCTAATTTTTATTGTAATGGTTTCGGCGCTTCATTCACAGCTTAATCAGCTTCTTTACAGATGACTGGTGTGAACCTGAGTAAACTATCATTTCCACTTCTGTTCATTTGATTGTTTGCTTTTCCACCAATGTCAAGAAGATGGAATTAAGGAATGCAAGACCCCAACTTCTCATTTACTCCTGTAGGACATACAGCCCTGTATCCAGCTTTAGACCAACGAATTTCTAAGGATTTCCAACTGGTTTTTAACAGGTTTATGCAGCTGTGAGATAAGAAAATTATCTCACCTTATGAAGGATACCACTTCTTCCCACATTTCCTCCATTTATAAGGAGTTCTAAATGTTTAATATCTAGTTGTTTAAGCAATATGATGCAACTGGAAGGTTATTATGGTTTTTATCTGTGTTGATATCACTTCATGTGTTACAAAAATGCAAAACACATCTGTAAAACTGCTGATAAATCATAGAGATACACTGATTGTTAAATGTTTACATATCTTGATATTTAAAGCAGCATTGTGTTGTTTTATTTTGCTGTTAATCCTGTTTGGTACAGTATGTGTTCCTTTCTGTAGCAAGAGGACAACAACGAAACAGCTATTTTGACGTCTATAAGCTCTTCACCTGTCTTTGAACTTTTAGCCCCCACAACATTTCCACCACACACCAGATAAACATAACTGTATGGATAAGTGCACACCATAATCTAATTTTAAAACAGTAAACGAACGCAGTAGAGATGCAGTCCTAAATACTGCACAATACTGAACACAAAAATAATTATACTAGAAGTATTTTTAAGACGTTTGTAACTTTAGGTATTTTACAGGAGATACAAATCAAATTTTAAATAGTGCATAACTTAGTAGAGTAACAAAAAAACCTTTACATCGTACGTTGTAGGTATGCTGTAGTTTTAGGGGTGCGGGCCATACCATGTAGTGGATTAACCTTGGGGGTTGTTTTTTTTTACACTTTTATTATGCATTAAATAGGTGTGCACCATGGATGTTTGACAGGGCGTGGAACGATGTGTTATAAGATCACTTGGGCCCAAAGCCTGCAGTTTTTGCTGTTTAATTTTTCTTGTAAGCAGAAAAGAGAGAGAGCTGTCCTCATCACATTTTTATATTTAATATAAGAGGACAACTGAATAGTAAAGCATTAATGATGCACAGAAATTTAATGCATAAGTAAATGTAAAAAGGCAAGGTTAAAAGATTAGAAAATACCCCCCCACACACACACACACACACTGCAGTTTCAGATAAAATGCACTTCAGCTATTTATTTGTACTATTTGTATTTATATGTTATATTTCTATTGTATACATTAACCGGCATCTGTTGGTGGACAGCAAAGAAAGAATTTCATTGCACAAAGAAAAGCCTTTTCTCTTGTGACACGTGACAATAAACACTTTGAATCTTTGAATCTTGAATATAATTTTCCATTCTCCTCTAGAGGAATTGCACCCTATTTTGCGAACCTTATTATAAAGTGCAACTGAAATGATTAATAAACAGAAACAAAGTGGGCCTGAAGTACCAAAGCCCTCCACTATTTTCAATCCCCTCTGCAGAACCTCATCAAGTGAGCAGAAAGGTGTGGCTTGGAAAGGCACGCAGGGCTGATATCCTCCTAATTCTTAATATTCATCAGCGGGGCGGGCTTTGAATTGCAAATAACTGCGAGCGGGCCCACTCAAATATGAACTGGGTTTTTTTTTTCGATGCAAAAATGTGGACTCCAGCTCAAAGCTTAAAAAAGGGACCCACATACCGTGCAGTGTCTGGCACAAACGGTGCAACAAGCTCGTATGCAAATGTTATTTACTTTAAATGACAATAACAAATAGCACTGAAAGACTGACTCTATTTAATAAATACAGTTTTTTAGAGAAAATATAATAGAAATGTATAAAAGTATCACCATATGCCTCAGGCAGAGGCCATGCACAGCATGGATGACCTGCGTGTCGGCGATGTATGACAGTAACTTTGTAACACTGTAAGTCAAGCAGCTATCACACTTGTTTTTAACGAGACACCAAGCTCCCCATTTTGGTCACAGCTCAGCTGCTCTTTCACGAAACACAGCTCCATCTAAATCGGGTGTTTAAGAGTTTCATCTGCGCTAAATAAACCAAGCGGGGATCCTCTCCACCTGAGGAAGTGCACAGTAAACGAAAGGGACTTACTCCGAGTGCAGACCTCGCCGCGAAGGTCAGCGCGATCACACAAATCCTGCAAAACAAAAATAAGTATTTTAGTTATTTCCCTCCGAACTTATTAGTCGACAGGTACAGCAGCGGCAGAGGCAGCCTGCAAAGCCGAAAATTAACTTTGCAGAAATACGTTTACAGAGCCGTTTTAAAAAGAAATCAAAAAATAAACCCTTACAGGACTTTCATATTGATCCGACTGGCGGAAGGCGGGGACCACAGGTAGAGCTCGATCCCCTTATCTTCACCAAAAAGGCACCGCTTCAAACGCGCTCATCGACGGCTTCAAAAAACCCCTGTCATCTACCCGGAGACAGAGAGAGAGGGAGAGAAGCAGTCCTACTGACCCCGATTTTAACACATAAAGCTCCAAGCATTAACAGCCAGCCAGCGTTGAAATCACACGTTTTGTTGGCGATTTCTTTCATAAAAATCAGAGCTTGTCCAACTCACCCAAGTTTCAGCGGTGCAGTCGCTGCTGCGCACTTCGTACTGGTGCGCTTCAACTCAGCAGCCTCAGCGAAGAGGAGGGGCCAGCACATGCCTCCATGCCTCTAACTGCCACCGAGGTACCCCCACATACCAAGTACGGTTCGGACCAGCAAAGGAGGCACAGCGGTGTAAAGCAAGTCTGCAGTCCAGGTTTTAATCAGTGAAAAAGCAACAACATACAGAAGTTCTTTCAGAGACTACAAAGACTTTTATTCCACATAAAAACAAAACCCCACCGTTGTTAGCGCTCAGGTGGTTACTGAAGTTTAAAATGACCTTAGGACACTTGATGCAAAATTAGTCCCCAAAGAATCAACATGATGGATCTTAAAATTCATAACTGTGTTTTCATACCATTCACCCAAACACCCTCCTTATGATACATTTAAAAACTTTAACCTCAGATCAGTGTTAGGGATCACGTGTACTTTGCCCTGATCTCTGCTAATGCATAAAACTTCTTGAATTAAGCAGAGTACTCTTTAAGCTTTGCAACACCGTGTTCTCCCTAGAGGGGCTATAAAATCCTTTATTACAGTGCATTATCTTAAATTTTTGTGTCTTGTGTTTCTGGCATAGACTTTTCTGCAGCTTGTTTAGCACCACAGGATCCTAATTAGGTCCTCTTCAGTTTTGGACTTGCTATATAGTTTTTATTCACATGTTTATTTGCTACAGTCCCAATTTCAATCCTAACCATAAACCCGGTAGCACTACAGTTATAACCTTGCACTATAATATTACTAAGGTACTTCATCAAATTTGATTTCAGAATTTTTTAGCAAACTTACTAGTGTAGAGCTTTCAAAGTTTTTAGAAAGTTACACAACGTATTTCATGTTTTAAGATGAGAACATGTTAAGTCCAACTTGTGATTAGATGACTTTTAAATCATACAAAAATGCAAGAATCACTTCAACTGTGATGCTTTAAAAATTCACAATAAAATCCTCCCAAAAAGTGAAGCTTTAAATTATTCCACTGCAGGTCTTGATTCTGGTTTCTTTCACTCCAGTGATTGTAACATAGATAGTGTAATATTGCAAAGGTTGGATGCTGAGATGATTGCTTACTGTGATTATGTGTGCTTATCAGTCCCAGTGTGTGCACATACAGTTTGATCACACAGTAACTTCAGCAGCATGTGTTCATATAAGTTCATGCAACAGTCTTTATGCTTCACACCACATTTAGAGGAAGACGAGACAAACGAGACAACAGGTACGTTTTTATAGGACGGAGGTTTTATTCTGTACTATTCTACTAGCAGCTTTCCTTCGTTGGGAGAAAGTGACCTGTAATAAAGTGGCAGGAATGTAACGTGCCGGGGCCTAAGGAAAAGAAAAGAAAAGGTTTAAAGTCAAACTCACAGCCTCGAGCGGTGGTCTGGAGTCAGGAGAAAGAATATCCATCCGCGAGGTTCAAACATAATGATTATTTACAGCATACTTTAACACGCGATACACTTTTGGGCATTTGGACCTTCGTGGCTCACACTTACGACCAGATCTTGTTTCGCAAATCACCCCAGATTTATTTTTAATTAATTATCTGTCTTGGGGAAGGTGCACATCCCTGATATCACTGCGCACCGCTTGTGGAAAGTAGATCCGGTGGGCAGGTTTACGAGTTCAGAAAAAGTGAGAGAGAGGGAACTGCAGAGACGCACGGTGCCAGAGCCAGGACCACTGGGAGTCTCTGCAAGCGCAACAACCGCCGACACGCCGAGAAGAAGAACGAGTTTCTTTATTTCTTTTCCACAGTGTGCGTGGGGGGAGCAGGGCTATGACACGCGTATAAAGAGCCCCAAAGTACAGTGCTAACGCAGGCGGATCTTTGTTTTATTCTCCCCAAAAGATGAGTAAAGACTCAAAGTGCCTGCGACAGCTCGGTGCGACTCTGCTACTAGTCCTGTTCGCCGGGGTGCAGCGATCCGACTCTGCGGTAAGTACGCTTCCAGTTCCTTGCACTGATTTTTCCCCCGCTGCAGGAGAACCTGCAGAGACCCACCGGCTCCCTCAGCGAGCGAGTAAAGTTTCTAAAATAGAGAGTCTGCTTTATAACAAGTGCTTCTGCTCTAATAATAATGATCCCGGTTGCCGTTTCCGTTTTACTTGCAAATAAAAACCATGTAATTACACCAATGATACACCTCCGCGCTCAGCTTTCATGGCTTTTTGACTGCTAGGATCACCTTCGCAGGACCTGCAGATTTTCTTGGTGGGAGATCGGACGAAGTTTCTGTCCTGCCCCCTTCGTGCGCATCTTCGCGTTTCGCGTACCTGCGGTTATTTTTTTTCCGCCCTGTGTCTGTATTTTGTTCCTATTCTCGCGTCAAGAACTCGGACGGATTCTAAACTCGGCGTGTGGAGGGAAAGCGGCGCGCCGATGCTTCCCTTAAGAGCCCGCTTGTGTTCGGATTGAACCTCGAACAGCGGGGCTGCTGTTCAGTCTTTTGTGCGTAATTTTGTTTTGGTGTCCTGAAAGAGGGAACTGTGCGTTTTTCTCTCCAGGTGTGTGCAGGTGTGCTTTAAGTTGACAGCAGCTGCTTTCAGACTCACACTGAAGTGTAGAGAAATGAAACCCATATTTAGTGCAGCTGATTAGTCTTTGCATTTGAGAGATGATTCAGAAACAGCAACACAGGTGGGGAAGTGTATGAGCGCGCTCGCACTTTTCCTCTCTTCGCCCTCCACATCTGTTTAAACTAGTGCCTCCTCATCCTCAGCTGTAGATCTCTAACATGTCGGGATGCCGATGCATCACCAAATCAGTGCAAGTGTCTCTCACTCAGGCTCCTCATATAATATTTCATGAATATTCCCTCGTCATTAATTATTAATGAGTCGTGGCTGCACGCCCACCACACACCAGGCGTGTCCAATCAGGTCTGCCAATCAGGTCTGTTTGCCGTTCTGTAAGTCCTCTAACACAGCTATTCGTGGTATGAGTGGGGTTTTTCATGTTTTTCAAATTATGCAGGAGACATTTGTGTGTTTGAAGATTTTATGGATTAGATTCAGTGTTTTGATGGCAACTGGAGCACTGAACAGAGTATGAGCATCCTGTGAAATAACAAAAACAGCACAGGATCAGGTCTAAGACTAAAAAATCAGCATTTGAGAGTTGAGAGTTGTCTGCTCAGAGTTTATAAAGTGATTAGAGATGAAGAATAAATCAACAGATAGAAGCTCTTTCCTCTCCTTCAGCTGTAATATGTCAAAACTATGGTTTGACCTCTTCCCTGCTTTGCTTGGAAGTTGTCTCGGTATGACAGAGATTAAGTTTACTGCAATATTTCACCAAGGCCATGAAAGTTTATCAAGAACCTTGAAGTAAACTGTTAAAAGGGTGGAAAAAAGAGAAAATGAACTAAAAAACGTATAACTTTAATTAAGATAGTTACTTGCTATATTAACGGTTTTTTGACATTTAAGTGTAATGATACACAAAAAAGTCACTGAACTTTCACAAATGGTCATTAATGTCTCAATAGATAATAGTAAATTAGCTGTGTGTTTTGGAGCATTCCTTTAATTTAGTGTGAAAGAAGACTCTTTAGGGAATCAAAGTTCCCCTTTCTCCATTAAAGCGCTCATTGAGTCCCCCTAGTGGAGACAGTCTGTCCTGATGTCACTGCTAGCACAAGAGATTGAAAGAAATGATATTTTGTGGCATGTCTTTGTCTAAATTTCCAAACTTGCGGGATAAAAACCCCCCTAAAATCAAAGACAAAGCAGCTATGTTCCTGTAACTTAAGCTGACATTGTTTTCAGGTTTAAAACAAACAGACTGGTGTATGTGCGGAGAGTTTCTCATTAAGTTTGAAGGAGAGAGCGTCATAAGTCATTTTTATTGCTCTCTCTCTCTCTGTGTGTGTATTAATCCTCACAGATATCAATCTCCATTCAGCCAGGTGAGGGGGTTCAGCGGTAATGTATACCTGGAGGTTTTCCTTTGAACCCGTCATGCAGTGCAAACCACAAACACACACTTAATTTGATGCATGCTTTTTGCGTAGCAAGGGAGGCGCACACCTATATACACCCGCTCGCCCTACACGTGACCCACATCTCAGGTGGAGTCTGTGCAGGGGCGGATCTGTCTGCATGTATGTGTGTGTTTGTGGTGAGAGTTATAGTCAAAACATCCTGACATTGCGGAGATTTGGAGATGGGCAGAGGAGTATCAGCTAACACATCAGAGCTGCAGCTTCCACGATGTCTTCTTCTTCTTTGGTGTTTGGTCTCATTTTTGTCCCCCGATTTGTTTCCTAGGATCTTCTGTCTTTTGTCAACTCTTCTTTAATCGGTCTCCCCCCATCCACTGCACTCGGTCTCGTTCCCTCATGTAGCGCCATGATGATGACGATGACAATAATCAGTCTTGGCAGGAATTTCCCAGATGCAAGATGTACTGATCATTCAATCAATCCTCTGTCTAATAATAATCACATTTATAACCACCATAAATCAACTCAAGCAGTTGATGTTCACAACCCTCAACAGTTTGGAGAATTTCAGGAAGTCAGGTTTCAACAATGCTGGAGTATTGTAAAGCTTGTGGGCGTGCACACAGTACTGTCCAAAAGTTTTAGGCAGGTGAGAAAAATGCTGTAAACAAAGAATGCTTTCAAAAGTGGAAGTGTTAATAATTTATTTTCATCAATCACCAAAATGCAGTGAATGAACAAAAAGAGAAATCTAAATCAAATCAATATTTGGTGTGACCACCCTTTGCCTTTAAGGCAGCATAACTACCTCACATACTTATCGTTGTTTTGTTTGTTTGGCACTACCTAAAATTGTTGTCATACCCCACCCCAACCTTACCCCTCCACTCCCGTGGTATTAAAAATGGTATTCGATATGAAATTCTAGTATCAAGATAGTGTAAATGGTGTGGTACTTATATAATGCTACGTGTTCAATACTTCTATAGAGTACTTCTATCTAACATTAACATTTCTCTTACACGCTTATGAATCTATTCGAGGCACCTTAATGTCACCTAAACATACTTTGACAAACCTCCATTATTCTAATTTGTTGCTAACCTGCTCATCCTTCAGTCTCTGTGTGTTTGTGGCAGAACTTACACAGTGGTGTCAATGACCTTCGGATGCCGTTAGGATTAACAGGTGGTCAATGGGAGCAAAACCAAAAGCTAAAAAGCTAATTACCCGGATTGAGTACAGACATTTCTCTTCCCCCGTCCTTTGCTGCTTTGTCATTTATTCTCTTTGCATGAAGAAGCAGACCTGATGTAGAAACCAAAGTGAAAATAGCCAAAGATGCAACAATGACAGATTTAGCTGTAGCCCTATACTACTGGATACCAGTAGTATAGTATAGTAATAGTAGTACTCTAATACAGTGTTTCCCAATCTTTTGGAGCCACGGCACATATTGCACGTTAGAAAAATTACATGGCACACCACCAAACAAAAATGACACAAAAAGCATTTTGTTCACCTGGTAGACCGGAATTGGCTCAGTTTGTCCCCAGTATACCTTTTTTGCTTTCTTCTGAACACTACTGATGCTAGGGCTAGATTTACTACTTTTTCTTTAAAACATTTTTTTCTATTGCTATCACGCGCTGTGTCCTCTCACAGCATGACTATTATAGCGTTTCTTCTTCATCTTCTTCTGTTTTACTGGCAGTTTGCAACCTATTTAATTAGAGCAGGTAGTTGTACTGCCCTCTAGTGGAAGAGAATGCAATTGTTCTGCCCGCGACTCATGCCGATCGCTTAAGAGTACCAATCAGGTGGAACTAAATAATCTTCCACAGCACACCTGATCCTTTCTCGCGGCACATAATGGTTGGGAAACACTGTTCTAATATATCTGCAGTAGTAATAGCAGAGCACTTGCATCAATTGCAAAGCTTCAGCTAAACCCACAATTTTCAGTTTCATTCTCCTTGTTGTGGAATTCAAACACCTCCTCAACAATTTGCTAGTCAAGGCTTGCGTTTTTATTTCCATCTGGTAAATAAATTGTTACGTGATAAGAGCAATATGTTGTGACTAATAAGACCCAAACAGGTCGCAGACGTGGGTGCCTGCATCACGATTTTCCATGAGTTTCATTTTCTGCTAATTCAGACTGAAAAAGCATCCAGTCATTTCCCTGTTGCCTCCTCTTCATGGGTCTTTAAATGTCAGGCTAGTGTGGACATCAGATTTACATGGACATCTTTGGTGTACTCACATTGGTGTAGTAGAAGCAGTAGAAGTAGAGACCACAGTGATGTATGTTGTGTTACCAGGTGTATTCATTTACTTGACATTTTGAAAAAAATTAATGCAGAGAATAAAAAAAGTACGTATGATACGTCTTAAAAGCCGTCCCTAGTGTATACTAGGAGCAAAACCAGGGAAACTGGCAAAAGGTAAATGACTCTAGTAGACAGAATTTAATAATGCCAAATAATCATACCAGCTTTTTCTGGTGGTGCTTTAAGAGGTGAGAAGTTATGTGTGCAGGGATCAGACTTTGGATAGACTTGGATATTTTAAAGGCTTTTGAAGGTCATACAGAAATGAACAGGAAGCCACTGGAAGGACGTGAGGATGGTTTTCTTGTTGGCTTCAAATAGCTATAAGCAGAAAATCTCACTTCACTGAGCAACCACACTAGAGATAGGTGATAGTAGAGCTGATAAAGTCACAAATAAGGACTTTACCCCCAAAGGATGGCTGATCAGGGAGTTACAGGTGGATGATATCAGTGTCTACTTGAAGTGCACCATCAATTGATGGCTTGTAGGGGCTGTAGTGGCAGTAGTAGCGGGTTTGATTATATTGGCAGTAAAAGATCAACCAGAACAGTAGTAGTTGTAGTTTTAGAAGGAGAAGTTGTACCTGAACTTACATTACAGTAGGTGTAGCAGTAGTAGCAGCTCTAGCATGAGCAACAACAGTAGAAGGACACATG